TTTTTTTTTTCGCAATTTCAAATGAATTTGCCTCATCCCGCCTGAAGTGAGAGAAAATAGCATTTTTCTCTGGCTTTTTCTTATAGATTTTCTGATATTTGTTTTTGGTTTTTAGTGGCTTAGATGTTCTCAAAGGTGCCATAAAAGCGTAATGACATCAAACCCGCAGATTCTCTTTGACCATGAGGAAGACGCGAGTTTTTCTAAAAAAGGAAATTCTTGAAGGGGAAAATGCGCCAGTGGCGGATATTTTTTTGATGAGTCATTCTGGTCTTCTTTATTGTTTTTGAAACTGAAGTTTGTTCTCGACACAAAGAGGACCAGAGTTTTCTCTCTGTTTTCAAGATCCTGCGCCCATATACAGTAAAAGAAAGCACTTTATTCAAGTCTTATTGATTTTCCTCCGTATTTTAGCGTTTGACCTTATTTCTGGAAAAGCCTCCTCGATTGAGCTTTTGATTGGGCTAAGCTCGGTTAGGACGAATGTTTTGGTTTATTCCATTTGAATGCCCGACCTTTGTAACTTTACGTTTTTACAAATTGTGAGTTCTAAGTTTTGCTGGGAAATTTTAGTTCAATGTTATGTCAGATTATTGAGGCTCAGTTTTAATTGCGGTAACTTCAGTTAATGAGGTGAAACCTTCCGGACATCGCGGCCGTTGAAGTGATGGAAGGACATAAATATTTAAATACCGTATATAGCCAGTTTTCGTGTTTATTACAGTACAGTACTCAGACATCCCTATGTTCGCTTTGTCAAAATTGTTTTGGAGGAAGAGGATAACTTCCTTTGTACGTGCCTCCAATCACTTGAGTTTTGCACGAAACATTTTGTTCAAGATTTTTTTTTTGCATGGAAAAGAGTGCGCGAGAAAATTTTCAAAAATGCAATTTGAGTTTTTTTTTTCTTTTTCTTGGAAGATGGGTGAAACGGAAGAAATGTTGCAGCCATTTGTGATATCCATCACGCGCGTTTGTTCGCGTTGCGGACGTGGTGAGAATAATGCGAAACGAAGGTTTGACAACGAAAGCGAAGAAGAAAAAAATAGAAGGAATAGTTGAGATTTGTGTGTGTGTTTGCCAAGTTAAGTGGACATAGGACGAGAAAATGTGCAGCTGGTCCATCATTTGTACAAGTCGTGTTTCCGCCAATCATTCCCGTCGTCGCTTTCTCAGATTCGATTTTTTGAACTACAAGACCTCGGAAAACAACGACAAAATTTCTTCAACAAAGGAAAACGTTTTTCGCATTTATGAAATATCATCCGTTTTTATGAAAATGCGTTGATCTTTTGCTCAAAAAAAAGATGACGTTGGTTGAATATGAGAGAAAGAGGGAGAGGGTGAGTGTAGTATGAGACTATATACCATCGTTGGTTTTTTTTACAAGTTTTTTTGTTTTTTTCGCAAAATGATCCGAATGCTTTTCTTGATTTTCGTTTGCTTTTCCGTGCTTGGATTGATGTGGAAAAATCGCTCTTTTTGTTAAACTTCGAGTTTTCTCTCCTTTTTTTGCAAACAGCCAGTGCGAAGGAATTCTTGTGGTTTTTTTTTTGGATATGGAGCGAATGATGAATGAAAGGATTTGTTCATGACGGCGCGACCAAATAAAAGGCGGGCAAAGATTTGCTCACACGCGACATTGTTTGGATTGCTTCTTCTCCGTGGATTCCATCTTTTTTTTCTGTGAAACAGTACTTGTTTTTGTAGGGATAAAATTTATGGTCCGCAGTTTTTCTCTATGTACACGCAATTTATTTGAGGGTCCGTACGTATACGTTTACATACCCCGTATACTGCGACTTCATTCTCCTGAAAATTCGTATTCACTCAGGCGATATTGTACATCATATCACCAGGAGGTCAAATTTGGACAACAAGGTGTTGAAATTAATGGTCGAAGTTCATTAACCGTGGCATCACTTGTATCAACACGTTGTGAGAGGGTTGTCCCAGTTGAAAGCGACCTCTGATATTTTTATATTACTGTAGTTATTATTTTAAAAACAACCAAAAAGCATTACATAGCCCATATGATTTTCTAATAAGGTTCCGAATTTTTTTTACTTTAAAAAAGTTCTAAATTTACTGCATGATGATAAAAAAATTTCCAGGTACACAGACAGAGTTCATTGTGCTAAAAAGTTGCAAGGCCAGCTGAAAATTTGAAATTCTTTTGTTTAACTCATTATCTTTCCTCCGTTTTAGATTTTAAAATTATTAAAGCAGCAAAAAATAAATTTTCTATCTAGTCTGGCGAATTTTTACCTCCCTGGGACATGGGTGGAGAACTCTGGCTGTTATTGGGAAGTTTTTATTTATCATCATGCAGTAAAATTTAAAAAAAAAAAATCGGAAAGAAAATCTCAGAGCCTTAGACAATATCGAATGGGCTATGTCGTGATTTTTCAAAATAAGCACCTTCTCTGAAATTACCCGAGTCCGTTATAACTGAAATAACTCTTTGTATATAACAAACTATAGAAATAAATATGAAGAACGTACGTTCAGTATATTATGACGCGTCTTTCCTGATTCAGAATCCGGAAGCATTGAATATAAGGAAACGGATCTTCTCCCCATATCAAGATTAGAGCCCTATATACACTTTGCTGAAAGCTCAACTGCAGAAGTGATTTTGCATTCTTGATCCCTGGAGTGTTCATAGTCAGCTGCTGTTGGCATTTCCGCATTCCTCTTGGTGGATGAGAGATTATACGAGAGGA